ATCCACAGCTTTATTTCATATGTAAGGGACCAATGTACTAGACTTGTAAAAAAGACTGCAAAAAGCATTCAAATACAAGCACATACTTAATAGAGTAGTTAAATACAAATATTTTTGAGTTATATTTAAGTATAAAAATGCAAATATATTGTTTTCTTAAATAGTTTGCTTGTAAATAATATTTATACATATAAAGAACTTATCAAATAGATAATTTTAAAAAATATCCTATCGCAAGAACATACTTGTGAAAAGTATTTGCTTAAAAGTTTTTAATTAAAATACTTAACTTGTGTTTTTTTATCGAAAAAAATATTTGGATTATTGTAATTTTAACAACTTTTTGAGCAATTTATACACAATCATATATTCTGTTCAGTTGAATTGTTTACAAATCATTAAAGATAAAAAAATCAACAAATATTTGACGAAGTACCTATTTACAAAGTCAAGTAAAATTTATACTTAAATACAGGTAAATACTTCGAAAAGTACTTCAAATACAATTATAAATACCCTAAGAGTATTTGAGTACAGTATTTTAAGTACTTTTACTCAAATACTTTACAAGTATGCAAGTGACTACACTTACTTAATTGGTTTTTTTTTGTCCGTTTCTACAGATTACCTTATGAGTATGAAGCTAATTTTGATTCTACCCTGTGGTATCATTTTTCATGGACTATGGACGTTACCTGTTGTTGACAACTTCATCTTGCAACATTATGCAATTTATTTCCAACAATTCTCGACATAGCAATACTTAAAGGAGACGTGGAGCTACCAATGTGGTGTCTGTCGCTGAACCCTAATGTGTTGGGTGACTCTACTACAGAGGTATGTCGTAACATATAAAACATAATTAGACATTGATAATTTACTCTAAATTAATTGCAAAGGTAAACAAATTATCAATTTACTGCTGATTTCAAAAGACAACACTTTTTGAACTTTGTATTTCCTAAAGGGATGGTTTATACCTTTCTTATATGTATTTTTATATAAATTAGTACAAGAGGTGGATATATTGAAAAGAATTCTAGTAATATGTGTTATACACTTTTATAGATTATAGAATCCTTGCTTTTTAATTACTTAATTCATATCTTTTATCATTTTTACAATTAAAGTAAATTTCTTTGGGTTATTGCCTCTATAGTAAATAAATTATTCCTTTGATTTTCAATTTCATTTATTTTAAATTCATTGAGAGTATCAGTATCTATTTTCTCGAGTACAGTTAATAAATACTTGCTTATTGTTAATTTAAAACTACACCCTAATTAAAAAAAAGATACTTTTATTCTTTCTTATTTTTTATGACTTCTTATTTTACATATCAAATTTTATAGTAAGTAGTTAATTGGCTATTTTTTTTACGAAATTAATACTTCCAAAAAACTTTGTTAACTGTTTTGTTATTTTGTCATTTTTTAAATAATTTAACAAATGAAAATAAAATATTCGATAAATCCACTTGTAATTAATATTTAAGAAAGTATTTATTTATTTATTGTAATAATTACGATAAGGTATCATTAAAAAAAGGATCGAACGGGATTGTATGAAAGTCTGAATGGGGTGTTTCGTGTATGAGAGAGTCAAGGTGAACGAGGGTGTGAGAATGGAGTAATGAATAGGGATGCCTTACGAATGGAGGAACGAAGGGTGGTGTGAGTTAATGAATGGGCAAAAGATTGCAAGTACGAAAGAGGGTGTGAGAAAGTAAATCCTACAACTCCACTCATATATCCACTTGCGGAGTACCCTCATTTGTAGATGGTAGTACTCTCCAAGTGGAGGCATGAGTGGAGTTATGAGAGAGGTACAAATGGGGATGTGTGTGTGGGAGAGAGGGAGAGAATGGAGGTACAAATGGGGACGTAAGAAAGTATTTTCATAAGTCACTTTCATACCTCCACTCGCAAAATACCCTCATTCGTACATGAGGGTACACTGCGAGTAAAGGAATGAATGGTTGTGTGAGTAAGAAGTTTGAATGGGGTTGAACGAACTAATGAAGGTACTCCATTCATATCGTCACTCGCATAATTCCCTCGTTTTAACAGGGGACGCTACGAGTGGCGATATGAATGGAGTTGTGACATGTACTATCTCACACCCCCATTCGTACCTCCATTCGCAGTGTACCCTCATGTACGAATTAACGTACAGGAATTTGCTTTTTACTCGACAAACTGTTAATTAGTTTTCTGGTCTTGTAATTATGTTCAGAGTTCACAAAGTCACAATTAGTATAACGTCTATTAACAACCGTTGACAAAGTGTATACGGTTAATTTATATTATTTGTAATTAACAAGGAAAATTGTAAAAATATTGCCTAAAATACTAGTTAGAGTTTTATAAAACAATATCAGGATCAATTTGTACTATTTTGTTGTAATTTTATAATGAAAAATTAGTGTTAATCTATATTGCCATAAATGCTCTAAATTTTTATTATTTAATAAAGATTGTAATAATTAGGCCTGTGGTTTGATATTATGTATTTGAAATGTGCCTTATATCTAACTGTGTAGATCTTATTAAATGTTATGTTAATTATCGTTCGTTTTACTTTAGGAAGTTGTAGATGTAAATTTTCTATTGAATGTTAGATGGTAGTAGTAAAGTGTCCTGTAATTCTATAAAGTCAAAGTGTCAAGTTGGAGTGTTGACTGATAGATGGCGCTGAGGTAACTGTCGACAATGTATTTTAAATCGTTTATTTAAGGATGAGAAGCTAATATATAGGGGTGGTTGGTCGGTGGTTTGGGATGGGGGGCCCGGATTGGAAATGTATAATAGATGGAATAATTCTTAGTATGATCGTAAGTTTTTAATCCTTTAAACAACATGTAATATAAACGAGGTCAAATGTTTAGCACGTTGATGATTGAAGACAAACAGTACGTTGTTAAACGAAATCTATATTGAAATGCACGATACAATATTGATTAAAAATATTCCAGTTTCATTACAATTTTACATTACGGTATAAGTTACACTGTATAGTAATAACTCAAATACATTTAATAAAACATTAGATCATAATGTACAGTAATTCAAATATATTTCACAAGATATAATATTGATATTACACAATAAGAAATTGAAAACTTTCAAGTCCAAAAAAAGGAAAAAGTAACCACCGTGGATACACCCAACTTAGCAATTTTTGTTCCTACCGTATACAGACAAAACTATTAAAATCTGGTAACTGAATCTTGAAAACTGTGCATGATATAACACATGCAATTGTAACAATAAGAAATTGAAAACTTTCAAGTCCAAAAAAAAGGGGTAAATAACCACCGTGGGTAAATCCAACTCGGCAGATTTTGTTCCTGTTGTCTACATACATAACTATCAAAATCTGGTAATTAAATCTTAAAAATTGTGCATGATATATCATATGCAATTTTAACAATAAGAATTGAAAACTTTCAAGTCCATAAAAAAGGGGTAAGTAACCACCGTGGGTAAACCCAACTTCGCAGATTTCGTTCCTGTTGTATACATACATAACTATCAAAATCTGGTAATTGTGCATGATATAAGAGTTGCAATTTTAACTATAAGGAATTGAAAACTTTCGAGTACAAAAAAAAAGTGTAAGCAACCACCGTGGTTTCAATCCGACTTTACAGATTTTGTTCCTGTTGTGTACATTCATAACTGTCAAAATCTGGTATTGAATCTTAAAAAATGTGCATGATATATCATATGCAATTTTAACAATAAGAAATCGAAAACTTTCAAGTCCAAAAAAAGGGGTAAGCAACCACCGTGGTTTCAATCCGCCTTTACAGATTTTGTTTCTGTTGTCTACATACATAACTATCAAAATCTGGTAATTGAATCTTAAAAATTGTGCATGATATATCATATGCAACAATAAGAAATTGAAAACTTTCAAACCCAAAAAAAGGGGTAAGTAACCACCGTGGGTACACCCAACTTCGCACATTTTGTTCCTATCGTAAACAGACAAAACTAGTAAAATCTGGTAATTGAGTCTTGAAAACGGGGCATGATTTTTATTGTTGTTAAAATTGTATAACACATGCATTTTAACAATAATAAATTGAAAACATTACAGTACAAAAAAAAGGAGTAAGTAATCACCGTGGGTAAACCCGACTTCACAGATTTTGTTCCTGTTGTTTATAAACTATTAAAATCTAGTAATTGAATTTTGAATACTCACGCACGATATAACATATACAATTTTTTATATTGTAATAAACTTACAATTTTACTGAACTTGTGTCTGTTGTGTACATATAAAGAAAATAATCTGATAAAACAGACTTTTAGGAACTGTGTAAGGTATAAAGCTTATAATATTAACCATAAGACATTGATAGTTTTAAACAAAAAACGAAGAAATGTTACTTTACAGACAAATACAAAACATATAATCTATAAAATACTACTATTAACGGAAGAAGAAGCAGTCAGGTAGGTATCTGCACTTTTGTTTTATCGGAAACAGATCTTCACAGTAATGTAGGACATTATAACTTCCTGAAAACCATAAGTAAATTTAATTAGAATACGTTAAAATAATTCTGACCAAGCAAATAATTTGCTATTTTTTTGTATTAGAAAATGTATTACGACAATAAGCGACGTTTCATTTATAATACAGCATAAAAACCAATAAGGTGATGTATGATGTATGTAGTCGAAATTTTACCTGAATATCACAATAAATTTGAATAATAAGATATCAGAAAATATTTATCAATTATACCTGTAACGAATTACATATATAATATTCTTACTGAAATTGTTAATTTGAAAAGAAATCTTTTGATAAAAATAAATTTAATAAAAAAATACTTTAGTTGATTTTTTAAGAAAACAACGCTTTATTAAATCTGAATTGATTTGAAATTTAAAAACGAATAAGACATATTAAGTGTATAAAAAATGTATATCATTGAGAACTAGGACCACAAATGACTGCACATATTGTATGTATACCTTTGAAAGTACATTTAATACTACAACTAAAATTTGACTAAAAACTTTCTTAGCTTGTAAAAGTGATTTAAACGAAGCTAATTAACTCACATTTAAAAATTAATAAAATAAAGAACATCATATCACATATCCTCCTCCTAGTTTTAACTATTCTAGTAACCACTACTGTGTACAGGTACTAAGCACTGTCTATATTAAGCACTTTCTTGCAGTAATGAATGTAAAAATAGTCATGTTAATAGATAATAAATAATAGTAATGTAAGGAACATAATAAAATTAATTATAATTTCTTAACTGTGTAGACATTCAAGTAGGATCGAATAAATAAATGTTTTTTAGATACACAGTTTAAAAAACTAATTAACGTACCGAATACCTCACAGGTTCCTCTCTCAAGTGGAGCTTTCTGCTGTATATCACTTCTGTTTCCTAATAAAACCATGACAGACAGCATCTTTTTTTCTAAAGAAGTGCCACACTTACTTCATTTCTTTTCCTGGAGATGTATTTAGATTCCTAGATAAAACATTTATATTGTTAGTAAAAATCTTGACACATTTCTTAAATAATATTAATGTGATAGTTTGCAAAAGGAGGAAATCCAATTTTGAAGATTTTTAATAACAGTTATTAAGTTCCTTACATGTACCTATACTGAATGAGAGTATAATTAAAACAAAAGTAATTAATTAATAAATATACACATTCGAAAACATTTTTAAGAATCTGTTTTATGAAATGTCTGAAGTAAGCACATTTTGAAAGCAAATATTACTTATAAATAGTAAATTTGTTGCTATAATAGATGGAATAATTCTTAGTATGATCGTAAGTTTTTAATCCTTTAAACAACATGTAATATAAACGAGGTCAAATGTTTAGCACGTTGATGATTGAAGACAAACAGTACGTTGTTAAACGAAATCTATATTGAAATGCACGATACAATATTGATTAAAAATATTCCAGTTTCATTACAATTTTACATTACGGTATAAGTTACACTGTATAGTAATAACTCAAATACATTTAATAAAACATTAGATCATAATGTACAGTAATTCAAATATATTTCACAAGATATAATATTGATATTACACAATAAGAAATTGAAAACTTTCAAGTCCAAAAAAAGGAAAAAGTAACCACCGTGGATACACCCAACTTAGCAATTTTTGTTCCTACCGTATACAGACAAAACTATTAAAATCTGGTAACTGAATCTTGAAAACTGTGCATGATATAACACATGCAATTGTAACAATAAGAAATTGAAAACTTTCAAGTCCAAAAAAAAGGGGTAAATAACCACCGTGGGTAAATCCAACTCGGCAGATTTTGTTCCTGTTGTCTACATACATAACTATCAAAATCTGGTAATTAAATCTTAAAAATTGTGCATGATATATCATATGCAATTTTAACAATAAGAATTGAAAACTTTCAAGTCCATAAAAAAGGGGTAAGTAACCACCGTGGGTAAACCCAACTTCGCAGATTTCGTTCCTGTTGTATACATACATAACTATCAAAATCTGGTAATTGTGCATGATATAAGAGTTGCANAAAAAAATTTTAGAAAATTTGAAACCTAAATTCAACAAATATTTGGTACGGTAATTTTACTTAAATAAAAACGCCCTAATTACGATTAAATATCATCCAAAAAATATGTAAAAACGTAGTTAATGGCGTTGTTAATTAACAAGACATTACTGACACTGAAACTTACTACAGTATTGTTTTTTAATAGTAAATTGTTATGGGAATAATAATAATAATAGTTTATTGTAAAACCGTATTAAAACCATTCCTTATGTCCTGAATAAAAATGTTAACATTAAGCTAGTTAGTTAGTCAATAAAAGAAAACTTAAGAATGAGAAGCGCTTGAAAAACAATCGTTTCTTAAATTATGTTAAGATTGCCGCTCCTAGAATATTATTTACGTAGATATAAAGTCGATTTAATAATTATGAATGGATTTAGGTTACGGTATGTAATACTGAATATACCTAGTACAAAAATATTGTATCAACCATCAACGTAGAATATAATACGCTCCACAAGTGGGAAAAACTGAGAAAATTATAACTTTAGTTATAAGCAACATAAAAAGCATGTGTTGAAAATGATACATAAATGTTTGTGAAAAGCGAATTTTGAAAAAAAAAATAATTATTTTCTGTTTTTTTTTGTCCAATGTGCAAATATGGATATTTGTCAATGTTACAAGAAACTTATTCACAAAATAGTAACAAAAACTCACCATTTGTGCATTTTCCTTTTCACTGTTCGTTTCTTCTTTTGCAGTGTTCTGTGACCTTCGCCTTGAGCTTGATTAACTAGCTCTAGCGAATTATTCCAAAATAAGTATAGGTAATCTAAATAGATTTTAATTGAATAAATCGTTTTAACATTTCCATAAAATAACGATTTACCTAATTTCATAAAATTATTTTTTTTTTGACAATAAACTTTAATTAATCTAAAACATACGCACCCGAAATATTAATTAGCTACTAAATAAATTCGTCGAATTTTGTACGATTTACGATAGCTATATGAATCGTGATATATAAGGGATGCTAAATTTTTAGAAAACCAAACCAAGAACGAGGACAATAATGTTGAAACAAACAGCTATAAACATTTAGAAATAATAAAATAATATAAGAAAGTAGCTTTAATGTACATTGTTAAAAATGTGTATCTAGATTAGTTAACGAGAATTAGTTGAAATGTTCATTATTCCAGAACAATAAATTAAGGAAAATTTACAGGGCTTTGAGTATTTATCCTGTATTTAAATAACAATTATTTTCGGTATAATACAAAAATGACGATATTTTAGAACTTTTTAAGACATAAAACAGGTGAATTTGATTAAGGGACTTTTATAATGACGAAGAACAATTTTTAATAGTTCTTTATTTTTTTATGACTATTATTAATACATTATTATTTGCCACTTAACGGTACGCTTAGCAATAATACATCTTTTTATACTCATGTATGCCTTTATACGAAAATGTAAAAAGTATTGAATTTAGGAATGTTTAATAATCTTTCACAGTAACTTTGGTGTATCACTAGTTGACGTAGAAAAATAAGGACTAGAATTAAAGGACTAGACAATTAAAAAGTTAATTGGAAACTTCAAGATTCTTATGTATTTACATTTTTAAAATAACATTTGGGCCTTACAAGACATTTATTTCAAACTAAACGAAAACGAGATTCGTTTTTCGTAATGCAACTTTTAAAAACTCGGAAAATCGATTAGTAATTTGAAATAAGGTCAAGTAAGTTGTTATTGTAGTATAAATATTAATTGGAAGTTGTTCTACAATGAGATTGGCAGTAAATGGAATGAATGCATAGGTAAAAAGTAATAACTTACATGACGAAAATACGCTGGATAACTAATGTACTGAAAAAGAAGCTGAACACGTACACAATTTGTATTTTTTTTTACATTACTCTAACGCAGAATCAAAAATATGAAAATAGTTTATACATTCATATATTTTGTATATTTGAGTCTCCAATGTAAATATAGATATAATCTTGTGAAGAAATCTACAAAAACCATTCTATAACTTAAGGTGTGACAACCTAAGCATTCTTAAATCTAATTTTGATTTTGTGCCTCCGATCTTTTTATAATACATGCTAATAGACGCAATTTATGTTTACAAATGCGTTTATTTTATTTAACATTATCTACTAAACGCACTTGAAAACAAACATTAAATACACCTAAGAAGTATAGTTACCGATCTCTTCGGTATTGTACCATTAATAGATTTGTTGTAAATCCCATAGTTTTCTTTATAAATATGTATAAATACGGAGGTAGATTTTGGAAACATTAACTATCTTTTAAAAAATTTTTAAAAACTCATACAAAATTACCGTACCACTTTAATTAATACATTAATAGTAATAAGTCAGGTTTTGGTTTTGTGTATACAATGTTACGGAATATTGGCTATTTTTTTTAACTTGTTATCTATAGTAAAAAAAGCAATTATACCAATGTTTCGTCCGATGATTGGGGACTACCTCAAGGTAATTGTACAGGTATTTTTAAAAATAACGAAATAACAGCAGAGTTCTTTAACACAAATACTACGAACAGTAATCGTAAATTTAAACAATACAGTATTACAATAAATTGTATTATTAACATTATAAAACACTTGTTAGAAATGAATTTAAGTTATTTAAAACCGATTAACTACACACGAGCACAAGATATTAAAAATTAAAATTATTAATGCCAAAGAAGAATGTTGGTGAATTTCCATTTTTAAAAATATCTTTACCATTTGTCAGACTCATTGGACATATTTACAGCAATAAATGACAAATTTATTAACTTACATTAATTTTTTTGATAATTAACAAAATAAATAACATTACGATCTTTTTTGATATCCAGCATAAAAGTACGCAGAAAACAACTTTATCTGTAATGAAATTGACTTACCAAATGCCTGAATGATTCCTTTCTGAACTGAGATAAAAGCTAAAAATCTGCAATCTCTTCCATTTCCCAATAGCAACAAAATGGGTCAGCATCTTTTTTAGAAATGCCTTTCATTTACTCCAATTCCTTTTGACATCTACTGCCTCCTACACAAAATATTAATATTGTTAAAAAAAATGTTTTAATACATTTTTTGAAGTACTATTAAAGAGAGCCAATTTTGCTATTGACGTAGTAAATTGGGGGTGCAGGTGGGTCAGACTCACCCTAGGATCCTCCTGGCCCACTCTAGAATATCAATTATTCAAGTACAAATAACAAAATAAATCTACAATAATTTACATTTATAGTTGCTTATGTTAGGTGGAGTTGAGAATTTGACCCCCCCTGTGAAAAATTTACTGCTACACCTATGAATTTTGCAAAAGGGAGAAGTTTAATTTTGAAGATTCTTAGTAACAGTTAATTNATTATAAAACACTTGTTAGAAATGAATTTAAGTTATTTTAAACCGATTAACTACACACGAGCACAAGATATTAAAAATTAAAATTATTAATGCCAAAGAAGAATGTTGGTGAATTTCCATTTTTAAAAATATCTTTACCATTACCTTGACTAAACCCCTAATCAGCCGCGAATCGTCGGTGAATTGTAAATAGAATTGTTTTATACCTGAAATACTTCGCAACTGTATTTTTTGCCAACTATTTTTTTTTCTTTTACGATGCAAAATAGTTTATTATTTCTTATTTTTTTAAAGATATTTAGTGATTGGACAAAAAAAAAAATAAAAAAAGGACTTTTCCGACAGCTGGTGTTTTTTTTTAAATGACATCTTGTATTTCTTAGACTGGGGCATTAAAAAAATAATAAGGGGATTTCGTTTTTTTTTTTTGTTGAATTGCTTCTTTTGTATTTGGGCTCGTGTTCGGCACGCGTTTTGAAAGTGAAAGGGGTTGGTGGTAAAGCGCTTAAAATTTGCAAATGTCTCCCTTTTAGAACCGAAATTTGGGGTGACGTGCCGGGATTTACACAAAATGGGAAAACGTCGATGCACAGTTTGAATGGATGTTTGCCATCACAGTATCCTTTGTGTAAAATTTCCCCTTTTAGGTAAAATAGTAACCCCTTACTTACTTTACAATAATTGAATGCATTTTCAAACGTTATGTAACAGCTGCATGAATACTATGACGATTGTTGCTTTTGCTAAACAAGATTAAATTTATTTACTAAAGTTACCAATCACTCGTCTAGAAAATGAATTTAATCTCCACCAACAGCTGTAGATATTTGTCCATTT